AACCTGTAGTACCTTGATAGACTTGTATCAATATAGAATCCGGTGTTTTTAGAGCCACACAAAGCTAGTCACTTTTAAATCATATCACGCTGGCATATTGGGTGAAACTGATATTTGGTATCATCAAAAGTTGCATGAAGAAAATTAGACAGAAGTATTTTAATTAACAAAAGTCGCACAAAATTCGATTTTGTCATACTCGACATTGATATTATACTTCGCCAGAAAATATAACACCTTGTTTCTTCATAAAAGAATGCGACTACTTGGGGAGTACTGAGCCGGCCTTGTTTATTCCATACTTTCTCGATATTCTAACTGGGGTATATAATATATATATATATAGTATATAATATGGGATATAATGTGCGCGAAATACAACCTATACCGAACCACATGTGCCTACCCAATCTCCGCGCATCCAACTCAATATAGGCACCACCGAGGAACCACCCAAATGCCCAATAATCACAAAAAATATTGAGCAACCTTAGCAGACCAGGTCGATGTGCCACCCCAGCTCACATTTCAACCTTGTACAAGGTAACATATCAAAAACTGTCAGCGGCGCCAAATGAGTTTAAAATTGTATCACGATCACAAGTTTCTCTCCCTCAGAAGGTCGGTTTCAACCATCCTCCATTCCCCTCCACTTTTTCCCTTACCCTTAGCACGGCGCGGCCGTCCGGAATCAACTTACAAATCCACTGGGGATGGCCAGCTGACGATGATGTAAAAGGAGATGCCCTTATAGCACAGGAATAGTAAATACTGGAATCCATATGGTCACCTAACACGACAAAGAAACCTTCAGTTCTTACATAATACAATGAGGTAAAACATTTTTCTGCAAAATTCGGTATGGTCATGATTTGACTTTCCTAGCATAACAGGAACTTGTAAAATTGAAACCGCTAAAATTTTGTCCAGCATAAATTTACCTACTAGGTCAGTCTCAAGATGTCTCTCCAGTTCCATCAAGCTCTCGCTGTCCAGTGTTTCTAGTAGCTAGTAGCTTTACAGCCTAAACATGTGTTAACGTCTTCTGTGCACCGTGCGCATACCAATAAATGTAGTTAACCAAAGGGATTACGCTTTATAAAATGTTCCTTTGTTCATGGACCCAAAGCCATAACTCCTATATCCCCCAAAAATGTTATTCAGAATATCCATGGCATAATATGATGTTTAGTTATCATATAGATACACTGCCGTCTATTAATTAGCGAACAACATTTGAATTGGGTACCGTGAGAGAACACGTGTCCATGCAACGTGAACGCATTCTTCAGAATAATACAAGTGGTGAAACTGTATCTTCTTTGAGATTCCAAGTATTGTCACAAACTTGTTGCTTACAAAATGGGTGTGCCATTCATTTTGGAAATGACCGTTTGCTTTGATCTTTCTAACAAAGTTAATCATTTATTCGTGTACTGGTATATTCTGGGATCAAATTTTAAATAGTCCACAGACGCTGGATTCAGCCGGTTAAACAAGGTATCAAAAAAGTTTCAGTTAGACATGCGTCAAGCTGAACCTGTTCTAACCACGCACATGGGCAGACATTCCTCACTATGACTTGATTGTGAGGAGCAACAACTAATACGTTGTTGCGTAATTGCAAACTCTTATCTGTAAGGTAATCAGATATTTTACCTCGTGAGTGTGAGTAACAGCCATTAAATTCATTTTCCTGGACTAAAGGCTATGGCAGAGGAGAAAAAGGTCCGTGTCGTCCGATTTTAAATTCACTTCCCTTGTCCCGAGGTAAAAAGCACTCGACAGAACTGTCTGTGTGAGAGTTTTCTACACAGGTTTTACTTCATCTGTTCTGAGTCGGCAAAGTATTTTCATCTGCTTCAGAAGCTGTGAGAAGCTTCTTCTGATCAATGTCTATTGCAGTGGATTTCTGGAGGATCTTGCCTTCACCTGGATTATAAATAATATACAGTCTTTGAGTATAGTTGATATGGTTTTATCGGAAATGCTACGACAGATTCTATTTACACTGATACTGATACTCAGATATTGTAATGCCAGCATGATATTTGGTTACTAACAATGCGAATACGGACGAAATTTTTTTTTTACTAGTACATCTGAGATCCTCGTCAGAACAAGGCTGTTACACTGTGCGCGTTTTCTGATATTTTGGTAGTCAGTACGTTTCTGCCACCCAGCAAATATGGAAGAAGTTGGCGAAGTTTATTTACTTCACTAAAGTCACTGCCGTTCAATGGTGGGAAAACAGAACAAGTCAATTCTTTATTTTCTAGTAGGATGACAACAGGGTGTTTGAGATGTTATTTGAAGAATTGCTATGCCAACCGCAAAAGATTTTCGAGTATTTCATGATAAATGTAATGGATGTAAATATACAGTGTGTCCCGGATTCGCTTCTCTATATAGAGATTTCGGTTCCTGTTATATCTACAGCAAAGGTTAAATGGGAAAAGTTTTAGAGGAAACTTAGTGCATTTGATATCCAGCTCCAGATTTACGATCGGTCAATTGGTTTTGGAAATATCGGCGAAAAACCGAAAATGTCGAATTTTGTTTTTTTCCAGTTCCAGGTTAATTTGACAGCTGTCAAAATGCCACACTATTCGGATTTTTTTTTAAGAAAAATAATCGTCTTTTGTTTTGCCGCAACCTACCCCAACTTTCAAGTGCATAAAAGTTTGGAGTATCATCGAAATATCATCATACGCAATGTTATGTATTAATTTTTTTCTAAGGAGGCCATGACTTATTTGTTAGAAAATAAAATATACAGGCTGCCTGCGAAAGGTTGGGAAATCTCGAGGACAGAGATACTACAGACCAAAATATGTGAACTGACCCAAACATACCTCATTCCAAAAGTTGATAGTTTGCTAGATTACAATTTTATTTTCTATTTTTCCTTATTCCTTGAGAAATATTCCAGACTTTGCCGTAAAACTCAGTATGGTGAGGTGTTCTAGTATGGGAAATAAGAATCGGTATTTTTTTATGACCAAGCTTCTAGACGGCGCCACTTACGGCACTATCTCGGTAAATAGCTTATCATAACTTTTTCGTACTACCCTGTATACAACAACTGACCAGAAAATCTTTTGTATTTCCACAACAAAAAAGGTCCACTTGTTAGAAGTGCCTAAAGCTAATAGTTTTCGAGATATTTTTTTTTAACAGTTGCAATGCATTATTTGTGCCATGATGATAAAACATTTTTATAACATAATAATTAAGTTGCTTAACAAATTGTCAAATCAAAATTATTCATGAAGTTCAAAGCAATATTATGACAAACATTAGAAACCATAGCAACGCTACTCAGATATTATCCAAAGCAACTTGATTATTATGTTATAAAAATGTTTTATCGTCATGGTACAAATAATGCATTGGAACTTCTAAAAGCAAGTATCTCGAAAACTATTAGCTTTAGATACTTTTAACAAGTAAACGTTTTTTGTTGTGGAAATACGAGAAAATAAGATTTTTTGGTCGGTTGTTGTATACAGGCTAGCACAAAAAAGTTATGATAAGTTATTAAGTATAAAAAATAACGGATACTCGCTTATCATACTGGAAAATCTCCCTATACCGGGTTTTATGCCAAAATGTAAAATACTTCTCAAGCAATAAGGAAAAATAGAAAATAAAATCTAACTTTGACACCCTGTATCTCGCAAACTATCAACTTTTGGACTAAGGTATATTTAGGTCAATTCACCTATTTTGGGCTGTAGTATCTCCAGTTTCGAGATTTCCTAACCTTTTGCAGATATAAAAGATATAAAATAATTCAATATATTAAAATTGTGTTTTAATAAGTAGTAGGTACGTTTTCTCTCATCAAAAACATAGATCTGACACAAAGAAATTGTCAAAACCTGTTGATAATGGCCGATATTCCCTACTCAAATGACGAAAAGTTTGACATGTTTGCGCTGTAGTTGCAGTCACACAGAAACGCCGACATTATCTCAGCAAAGTACTTGGAGATGTACCCCGAACGACGGCAGCCTCATATCACCCAATTTAGAAAAATAGTAGTTAATTTAGTAAACCATGGGGCTTTCGAACAACGTAGAAGCGAACACAACATTGGAAATGAAAATCGCGACGGAAACATTTTACAAGCTGTCAATGAAATCCCTAGTGCATTAGTAGGAACTATAGAACTAGAAGTTGCTGTGTCAGAATCAACTGTACAGAGAGTCTTAAATAAGAATAACTACCATCCATGCAAACATACAATAGTTGTAAAATACTCAAGGAAATCGATTTTCCAAGGCGAATGCGCTTCTGTGAGTGGTATATTAAGCCTAGTGAATATCCCGATTTTATAAATCATGTGTTGTGGTCCGATGAGAGTAGATTTACGAACTGTGGAGTTTTTAATAAGTACAACACTCATCATTGGGCTGTGGTAAGCCGTCACGAAGTAGCTGAGAGACGTCTACAGACTAGATTTGGAACTAACGTTTGGTGTGGGGTCATTGGTAATTTAATCTAACTTACCTTTTTAATTGGGCACCTATTTTAAATTAGGTCTCTCATGCATCTTTAGGCACTTTAGGTCAGTGTGTGAGCCGCTTCATTTAGTCTGTCGAATCGCCACATGAGGTCTCTCTTCCCTCTTCAATGACAGCTGCCGACTGGTGCATGTACGTATAAATTGAGATAAAAGTAACTAAGCAAGTCGTTTAACTAATATTCTAGGAACAAACATATTTTATTAGATATGTATATGTGAATGTACTGCATCAGGGTCGTAATAATAGTAAGTAAAAACGTAAAAATAACGTAACCTAAAAATTAAGAAGATAATTTAAACAAATTAAAATGGAGGGAATGTTCAAGCCACCGAAAAGTTTGATGTCCATGTGAACTTAGATAACGTCCTAAGAAGTCTTGACATCTATTTAAAAACAACAGGCTTGGATGGGGAGACAAAAGTAGTAATATTGTGGAACCATGGCGGAGAAGGAGCTCAGAAGAAGTTCATGAACTTTAAACTTAGTAATGCTGACAAGAAATATTTTGAAAAAGTTGTGGGAGCATTCCAAAATCACTGCAAACTGTTGGTGACTGAAACATACGACAGGTACAAGTTTTTCACCAGCGTGCAACAGGAGAGTGAAAGCTTCGATCGCTACATCACGGAAATAAAAACTCTCGCTTCACCATGCAATTTTGGGGAGCTGGAAGATTCACTATTTCGTGACAAGATAGTAAGTGACATTAGGGACTTGTGTCTGAAGGAGAGGCAGCTAAGGCCATCAAATCTGTCTTTGAAAGTAGTAGAAGAACATTGCAGGGCTTCAGAGATTAGCTCCATGCAAGTGAAGGGGATCAGAAATGCTAAGGAAGTAGACTCCGTCAGGTTTAAAAAAAAGAGGGGTCAGTGTACTAATAATGAAAGCAGTGAAGTATATACATGCTTAAATTGTGGTATGTCACATGGTAGAATGAGTTGTCCAGCTTTTGGTAAAATATGTAACAATTGTGGTAAGCGTTGGCTGTAAATTCAAGAAATCAAGCCAGGTAGGATAAGTTCAGTTATGAGAGACAAGTTAGAAGAAATGTACGTGAAATTAAAAATGATCACAGCGATAGTTCTGGGGGTGATGAATCGCCTTTTATTGACTATATTGTGCTAGACTTTATTGATAATGGTAGTATGGATAACATCTGGAGTGCTGAAGCAATGATTAACAACTGTGCGTTTCGCTAAAACTAGATACAGGGGCTAGCTGTTACTGTATGCCTCTCAGTCTTTATGATAAATTGAAGCTTACTAAAAACAAGCTTGATAAATCGAGTATAACTATTGTGTCTTATGGGAACAGTAAGGTTGAAACAGCTGGTACAGCCATAATAAAATATCTGATAAAAGCAAATGGTATAATAAAAATGTTTGCATGTTGAACAGGCCTCAGTGATTATTTTGGGTTTAAATGCTTGTGTTAAGCTGAATCTTGTAAAAAAAGTTGACTCTCTTAAATTCCAGGTTCTTGATACAGAGACCTTTATCAAAAATAATGTTTGAGGTCTTTGAAAGAACAGGAAAAGTTCCATTTAAAAATAAAATTTTGCTTAGAAATGGTTACGAACCTTATATAAATTCTTGTCGTAGAGTACCAGATGCTATTAAACCTGTTTTGAAAAGCACACTAGAGGATCTGGAAAGAAGGGATATCATACAGAGGTTAGACTGGTTAGAGGAACCAAAAGAGAGGGTAAACAATACAGTGATTGTACAGAAACCTAATAAAAGTATCAGAATTTTTCTAGACCCAATGCATTTGAATAAAAACATTTGTACTGGACAGTTTCCTATACCCACAGTGTAGGAGTTGTCTTTATAGTTGCAAGGTAAGCCGATCTTTACTGTATTGGACTTGAAAGAAGGCTTTTATCATGTACAGGAAGTGCGCTGTCACTAATCAAGCCGTGACGTTCGAGGTAGTCCAGAAGCTCGCGATTTATCCACCTCTCATCACCTTACTTATAACAGAAAGCAGAGCTATAGGCCTGTACTTGTAAGGGTCGGTTTTAGATACTTTTTTTGGGACGGGTTGGACATGAGCAAATTTACAGTTTTCTGGATACATAAGATATCTGGAAGATACGCGCGTTATAGGTCAAGAACCCGAGGCGTCAGCAAGACGACACCGCCAGTCGCAACGACAGCAGAAACCTTTATTAAAACTATTTTTCTTTTTATATTTTAATTCATTATGATTCCAACTTGTAACACGTTCATGTCTACAAAATAAATATTTTTTAAAAACTCCTTGTTGTGGCTGAGAAACATAATTGGCGCTGCGAACAGGATATCTGCACGGCATCCACCCAAGAAGGATCATCGGTTCGTCTTAACGATTTGGCAGATTTCTACCTGGGGTCACGAAGAAACACCGAGAAATTGGAGGACCATACTGGCGATGAAAATCAGTGCGATTCTTCTCATCCTGTAAGTCCATTTCCTTTTCATATGAGTTCTGAGTACCCTCAAGATTCATTTCAAGCTATAGTTAATTTTTCACACAAGTCGCAAAACAAATCTAGATTTCAACCCTACAGTAAACATTCAAAGAGGTCAGAAGACGATATTGTTGATAACCCATCTAATACTTTCGAACAATCTACAAAAATGGTTATATCTAACTCTGATGTTAATAACTTGTGTAATACTCTTCCTGAATTTAAAGTTGGAGATAATCTTTCTACATTTATAAGCTCTGTAGATAATTTAATCACATTTTTCAACCAACAAGGAGCTGATGCAGTACAATTGTATATTATTAATGCACATATTTTATCCAAAGTAAAAGGTGAAGCTCGAGATTTTCTGAACATTCATAATAAAAATTCGTGGCCAGATATTAAACCACTTTTATTACAAAAATACGGTGACCACCGTAATGAAGAAATTTTGTTAACTCAATTAACTACAACTGTTCAGAAACGCTCAGAGACTTACCAAGATTATCATCATCGTATAACCTTGGCACTGAATGACCTTTTACAACATGTTTTATTAAGTGAAAGTAATGCCCAGGCAGTAGAGTTCAAGGCTTCATTTTTCCGGAAACAAGCTCTAAGAACTTTCTGCACAGGCATCAACAACCCTTATTGTGACCATCTTTCTCATTTCGAATTGAATACTTTAGATGATGCTCTCCAAAAGTGTATCTCTCTTGACAATCACAGACAGCAACAACAATACATGTCTTACTTGAAATCCACGAATCACCCCCGCGATTACCAAAAACCTCAACCTCGTCCCAATCCAAACAACTTCAATACTTCGAACAAACCCAATAATCCCAATAACCAATACCATCGTAATTTTAATCAGCCCAATTCGTCTAATCAATCTTTCAACCAAAATTCTATGCACCCTAGACCTTTTGGCGATATAAATAAGCCCATCCAACAGAGACAATCTTTTCCGACAAATCGTCAAGTCTTTGGTCCATCGTCTAGGCCTAATAATTCACAAGACCAACGAAACCAATATAAACCAACTCCCATGTCTGGTATTCATTCCCAGAGATCTTCAAATTCCAAACCTACCCCAATGTCTATGTCCTCTTACCGCACGTTCCATCATAATGTTGAATGTGAACCCGAGTCCCCGCCTAGTTTACCTTATAACGAAGCAGACTGTATACCTGAGACAGATTGCTACGAAAACTTTGATTCTCCTGAGGAAAATTTTCTAGAACCAGCCTCAATGGAACCCGCACCCAACATAGAATCATTCAGTTGAATAATTTTTCCAAAGCAACGAAACTTCCTTACTTCTACCTTCCACATTCCAAATTAAAAGTTCTCATCGACTCCGGTGGCTCTGATACAGTAATTACTCCCAGAGCTGCTCAAAATTTCGACTCGAAATATGAATTCTATGAACCTTTTACCCTCATATCGATGAAAACCCCAAAAACATATACACGCAATCTTTACTACCCTTTGTTCGAAGAAATTGGTATACAGCAAGCCCTTACAATTAGAATTGCCGACTGGCATGACGATTTCGATGTACTTTTAGGTACAGGTGAACTCGATCAACTAGGAGCCAATATTGATTACGAAACACATGTATTTTCTATTCCAAAATTACAGATCTCTATTCCATTTAAGATAATTTACCGTAGTAATAAACGACTACGTATTCCGGTCTCCATTAATAATGGCGAAGTTGTCATTTCTGATATTATACATGAAAATCAAGTAATAGTTCCAGCATCAATTCATGTAGCTGAAGACGGATTCATAGAAATTCCACGTCCCAACAATGTTGAAATCAACTTCTCACAACCAATCTCCGCCACATCCATTTCAGATTTCGAAGAAATCACTCCCCCATCGTCTGGCGACAATTATTTTGATCTTAATTTGTTACGGACAGACCATTTGAATGCAGAAGAGAAAGAAAAGATCCTCCATCTTTGTCATCGATTTAAAGATATTTTTCATACAGAAAATTCTCCTTTAACCGTTACTACTTCTGTAAAACATGTTATTCGAACTAAAGATGAAACACCAATCTTCACCCGCTCTTATCGACACCCAAAATCAATGCTACCTGAAATTTCCGACCAAATCAATAAATTACTACAGAACAATGTCATCCGCCCTTCTATAAGTCCCTACTCAGCCCCTGTATGGATAGTTGCGAAAAAACTTGACGCAAGTGGTAAAAGAAAATTCCGTATGGTCATCGACTATAGACGTCTTAACGAAAACACAATCGAAGATAAATACCCTCTTCCCCGCATTGACGAAATTCTTGACAACCTAGGACGCTGTTCATACTTTACCACCCTTGATTTGGCACAGGGTTTCCACCAAATCGAAGTCCACCCAGATTCTATAGAAAAGACAGCTTTCACAGTTCCTAACGGTCATTTCGAGTACCTTAGAATGCCTTTCGGATTACGAAATGCACCAGCCACTTTCGAGAGAATGATGGATGAAATCCTAAGAGAATTCTTATACAAATCTTGTTTTGTCTATATGGACGACGTCATCATATTTTCCAAATCCCTCCAGGAACATTTAATTCATATTAAACAGATTTTCCAAAAATTCCGAGAAGTTAACCTCAAGATTCAGCCCGATAAATCCGAATTCTTGAGTAAGTCAGTAGCGTTTCTAGGCCACGTCATAACACCTGAAGGCATAAAACCAAATCCTTCAAAAATTTCAGCCATTGAAAACTTTCCTATACCCAAGACGGTGAAAGAAATCAAAAGCTTTCTTGGTCTGGTAGGATACTACCGACGTTTCATTCCGAACTTTTCCAAAATCACATACCCCATGACACGCTGCACTAGAAAAGGTACTAAAATCGATATCGAAGATCCCAGATATATTGAATCTTTCGAGAAATGTAAATCCGCTCTCAGTAACTCCCCTATTCTCCAATACCCTGATTTTTCCCTACCATTTACCCTCACTACAGACGCTTCAAACATAGCGATCGGTTCTGTCCTTACACAGAAAGGAAATCCGATAGCCTATTATTCTCGCACCCTAAATTCAGCAGAGAAAAATTATTCTACAATCGAAAAAGAACTTCTTGCCATACTCGATTCCTGCAAAGTATTCCGCCCCTATGTATATGGTGTAAAATTTACTGTGGAAACAGATCACAACCCCTTAGTCTGGTTATACAAAATTAAGGAACCCGATTCTCGTCTTGTCCGATGGAAACTCAAACTTGAGGAGTACAATTTCGAAATTAAATACAAGAAAGGAAAGGAAAACGTCGTCGCCGATGCTTTAAGTCGCATCGAAATAAATATGCACGAATCCGAGTCTCTGTGTGCCAACCCTCCAGATGATGATGACGACTTTGATGTAGATGACTTCGTTAACCAATCTTTCGAAAAAGAAACTGGTCAATCAACCCAACATTCTTCTCATGAAAATCCCGTTGCTCTCGTCCCATTCTCAGAAGAACCTATTAATCATTTTTCAAATCAGATCATAATAAATCTAGGCACCGATTTTAACACCAAATACCGTCTGAAGTTCAAGTCCAAACACGAATATCTCATCACTCTTTCCGAAAAAGACTGGAAAACCGACATCAAGACTGCTCTCCATCAAACTATAGCCCCCAATCAACGATACTACATTCTGACTGACAATCCCGATATCCAAAAATATATTTCCGACTTCGTCCGTAATACTTATAACCAAAACATCCAAATATTCTTCTGCACCAAACGAGTTCAAGATGTAGAGAGACCCGAAGACCAATTACGACATCTCCAAAATTACCATAAGGAAAATCACAATGGTATTCTCGAAACACTTAGTCATTTAAAATTACACTATTACTGGCCTAATATGCGTTCTACAATTTCAGAGCATATTAACCACTGCGATATTTGTCTTCGTAATAAATACGAGAGACACACATATAAATTACCCCTAAAAGGTCCACTTCTAGGACAAAAGCCTTTCGACATCCTTCATATTGACACATTTTCCTGTAATCGAGAAACTTTCCTCACAATCATCGACTCTTTTTCCAAGTATGCCCAAGTGTACAGTATACCTGACAAAATGAATACCACAATCCTTAGCAAATTACGTCACTATTTCTCCCACCATAATTATCCTCGAAAAATAGTCTGCGACGAAGGTACCGAATTTTCAAATAACCTCTTCAAAGAATTTTTAAATCTTCACAAAATCGAGCTACACTTTACGACAGTGAACAACCCGAATTCCAATAGTCCTATCGAAAGATTTCACTCTACTTTTACAGAAAAGCTCCGTGTTATGCACGACGAACGCACCAAAGAATATTTTACTGATCTCGTTACACATTGTGTTTTAATTTACAATCAGTCCATCCATTCCGCCACAGGTTATTCACCTTTTTCTATCTTATATGGCCCATATGCAGAAGAAATACTTTTTGACAATGACTTACCTATCTACGAAAAATATAACCAACGACATAAAGACGAACTTCGACCTTTCATTGACTCTCTTTATCGAAAACTCCACGATAAAGAAACAGCAATTTTAAATAAACGCAATGAAAGACTACCCGAGATCACTCCTGCTCCAGCACCTGGCCAAACCATATATATTCAGAAAAATCCCCGAAATAAATTATCTGCACCTTACGTATCAGCCGAAACTACTTCTAGTAGCAATACCAAAATTCAGGCCGTTACTTCCAAAAATAGACCCACCAATACCCATCCTAGAAAAATCAAACGTCTAAGGAAAATACCCTTGTTACAGGATCGTCATCCTGACGAACCACAACCTGGCCCTTCAAGTGCACCTGATCCCGAATAATGGATACTATCGTGAACTGATAGGCCATGCTCAAGAGTTAAATCACTATCACCGACATATTATTACTGTTAACCTAACTGCTATCGACGCAACGCTTAAAATGACTCTAACTAACTTCCTATTCCTTAACAAGACTTTCACTACTTCCAACTACCGAATATTTGAACAATATAACCATCTCTATTCCGAGACACTTGACAATTTTCATAAAATAATCCGACCCCGTCAAAGGCGAGGAATTGCTAACTTTTTGGGAACTTTTATTAAATCAGTGACTGGCAACCTTGACGAAAACGATCGTATATTTTTGGAAAGGCACATCTTCAGTATCGAAAATAAACAAAATCGTATAATCAATGTGCTTAATAATTCGACAAGTTATGCATCAGAAACAATAAAAAGATATAATATTCTGATTGAAACCATAAATAATAATACAGTGAGAATCACACAAGATATTAATTTTCTTAGAGATGAATTCCAGCAGTTTATTACTCTTCAAAGCGAAATTCGTAATATTGATCGTTTGAATCAATTCATTTTAAAGCTTATTAGAAGTATAAACCTATCTGCACTAGAACAACCGAACATAGAATTATTTTCACTTTCCGAAATCACTGACTTAGAAGAAAAGCTAAAATCTTTATATAAATCAAATTCTCTTTTATCAGATAATTCACATCCCTTTGAACTTATCGAAAATTCACGTTGTTCATTAATTACCACAAATACTCAGTTACTCATCCTTTTCAAAATCCCGATCCTTAATGATCACTCTTTCCGACTTTACCATATTTATCCCATACATAATGAAGAAAACATTGTACTACTGCCTCCTGCAACTTTCTATGGAGATAATCGCTGGTATTCTACATGCACCGATGTAGGACCAAAAATCGTATGTCAACCCGCTTCCACCACAAGATGTCAGCTTCCCAGCTTAGAAAATTGTACCACTGCCAAGCTTTCCCAGCCTGTCATCCACCAAACAAAGAAAAACCTGATCGTCAGTACAAATGAGCCAATCCAAATCGTTGAAAGATGTTCCCAGACTCACCGAAATATTAGTCAAGCAGCAATTGTTTATTCTTCATACCCAATCGAAATTAATGGACAGATTTACAGCACTACTTCAGAGCAAATCGAAGTTCCTGATATCATCCCTATAAAGATCCGCCCAAAGTTTAACTTACAGATCAACGAGTTGCAGCCACTCAAAGATGTACCACAGCTATCGGCCATACAGCCCTTACATTTAAGCCCTACAGTGACGTCTACAACAACTTGGTCCATGGCAACCCTAATGCTCATCATCGTCACAGCGAGCATTTACTTCGTCTTAAGAAAAAGAAGAAGACTCCAGACGCTTTTCTTCAAGCCGAAAATTTCCATTGCCGACTTGGAAAACCTAAAACTTCAAAAGTCCGAGGACGGACTTTCAGCTTAGCGAGGGAGGCGTTATAGGTCAAGAACCCGAGGCGTCAGCAAGACGACACCGCCAGTCGCAACGACAGCAGAAACCTTTATTAAAACTATTTTTCTTTTTATATTTTAATTCATTATCATTCCAACTTGTAACACGTTCATGTCTACAAAATAAATATTTTTTAAAAACTCCTTGTTGTGGCTGAGAAACATAATTCGCGAAAGAACTGGAGCACACCTCTTCAGTACAATCAAGTCCGGACCAGAAGCCATGCTGGGGGGCCTCCATGGCGGAGTTGGCAGCAAAGATCTCAGTTACAATCATTCCATCCTGACACGTAAGTGGTGGAAGGCTACTGTGTGAGCAGTTCTTTTCAATCTGCTTGGCCAGCGTCCAGAAAGACCAAATGCCATTTGGCTGCGACATTACCTTGCCAAATCAGATATCTTTCATCATCTTCCAAGAAATTGTACAAAATCTTCAAATTTGTGAGGTTAGCTAGTTTCACTTCATACTGGGATATAAAGTCCACTGTATGTAAGAATTTTCAGGTACTTCATTTGCAATTTGAAGATACAATAGACCATATGGTGCTCACACTTTTCAAGTGATATCAGTGTAGCTCCAACTATCATAAGTACTATGTTTGTGTTCCTACTTCAAATTCAAAACCAGCAAATGTAAAAGATTCATTTCGCACCCTCCACCACGGGACGTGGTCGTCGTCAGACTTGGCAACCCTGCGAGTGACAGATAGATATCCCCGCCAGTCAAATTATTATATGTTGGTCAAATTGGCCCTATAAGCTGCAACTAAAGATGATTAGATTTTATTTTATGTAAAAAAGTTTGTGTCATGATTGGCCACAAAATTCAAAAAACGTATGCCCTGAGTTGACTAAACTTTGTAAGATTCAAAATGAATAGTAGATAGTTGAAAGATAATTTGGTTTTCTATAATGACAGACTAGTGGTTCCGAAGAGTTTACAAAATCTTATGATTTCTAAGTTACACCCTGCGCACTTGGGAATGGAAAAAACAAAAGCTAGGGCAAGAAAATTTTTGTATTGAGAATGTATGACGTCCAACATTGAGAAGTAAGCCAGTAAAAGAACCCTTAATTGCGCAGGACAGGCCTAATCGTCCTTTTAGCAAACTTGGATGCGACATTTAAACTTTTGGAGGAAGAGATAATTTAGTACTGGTAGATTATTACCCTAATTGAATAGTTGGAGTAGTAGTTGGAAAAGTTAGAAATAAAAAATTTTGGGGAAGTCATCGATAAGCTAAAACAAACATTTGCTAATTTTGGGATACCTTTACCTTACCTGCTGATAATATGCAGAGTTTCATAATTTCGCCAGACTGGGAATTTGAATTACAAACATCTAGTCCTCATTAACCTAAGTCGAATGGTCTTGCAGAAAGGGTTGTAGGTATATACAGGAACATTTTAAGAAAGGGTCAAGAATCAGAAACTGACATTTTTATAGCGCTGTTAGAATAAGGTAATACCCCATTAGCAGGGTCCAATGTATCTCCAGCAGAACTCATTTATAACAGATAACTGCGTAGTATCTTACCTGTATCAAATAAGCACGAGTCTAAAGAATGATGGTCAGAGGCTTTCTAGAAAAAGAATTAAAAAAAAATTAATTTACGATAAACCTGCAAGAGATAGGTTAAGCTTCAAGGAAGGAGACAGTGTTTCAGGTCAGTGCCCCTATTATTGAGTTTGAGGGAGTAGAAATTGTGAGAGAAAGTGGCAAAAAGTGAGCGTGGCCAAGAAATGCAGTATTCTTGAAATCAATTCTACCGACAAGTGATAGAAATGAATTCACTTTAGGGAGTCGCGATTTCTCTTGGTACCGGTCAAGAGAGACTGGAAGAATTAGTAGAAAATAGGGCTATATAACCTAAACATTGACGTTTTTGGCAATGTTATTGTCGTTCGTTAAACATATTGCAAACATGAATAATTTCAATAAATTCGTTATTGGAACGATATTATTAACGAGGAGTAGAGGAGGCAGTTGAGGAATGGGAGATTGGGAGAGCTATTCTTGGGCACCGAGATCCTTCCACAACTTCGGATCGAAAATTTGGAAAGATGCTTAGGTTGACCAAAGATTTGGTGTATGAATTGCTGGAGATATTGACTCCATTCATACAACAACCCCGACGAGCTTCTGCACCTTTGATTACAACAAAGGTAAGTGTAGATATTAAGTTTTAGTCATTCTAAAACAGTACCTATCATTTAATCTATGATGGAATCCATACAGAGGCAAAAGAGCAGAATAATTTAATCAAGAATTTTCAAATCCATTTTCAGGTTTTGGCCACTCTAAGATTCTATGCTAGTGGCAGCCATCAGGAGATCACTGGCTCCAACCATTTTGTTGGGATTAGCCAGGCATCGATGAGTAGAGCAATAAAGGAGGTAACATTAAATCAAACACAAATTCTTGCAAGCAAAGTCAGCTTTCTCAAAGATCCAGAGGAACAAGAAGCTCTGCGTAGAAGTTAAGCTTTCTTAATTAGTGGCATAGTGGATATATTAGGTATTCTCGATAGTTTTTCTAAAATGCAACAACTTGTAGAGACTTTCTGTGGAGAGATGTAACTTTCAAGCAACAGAAAATCCAATAGTTTTTTTTAAGTTGGTCCAATAGTTAGCAATATGGAAAACAGGCCTGAAGCAATTTAAGCAAAACTGCTGTCTTTTCATTATTGGCTCTATTCCCTCTATACTTCATACACTACATACAAACACCTTTTTAAAAATTCGCTTCCTATTCTAAGGTTTCATAGTATTTATAACTTCCCAGGAATAGTGGGTATCGTAGACTGTACACATGTGGCAATTGCGTCACCCTGAAATAATGACTCATTATACCCTGAACATGTGTACGTCAACAGGAAAAATTACCATTCACTGAATGTTCAGCTAGTAAGTACATAAACTACTTAAGATATTTAGGTTTACCTTTTACCTGCTTAGTTTTATTGCTTTGCAAAATAAGCGCTACCTTGCCTAAAAAAACTAATAAACAAATAAATCTAAAACCAATATCAAAAAGTGAGAAACTTAAAAATGGCACAGGTTACAGACAAGTAATCAATTAGTTTATATTGTTTAAAATGTTTGGAGCATAATATTATTCTTATTTAACTTCTAACTATCTGGTTTCATAGTATCTTTTTATTTTTTAGATTTGAGACCCAGATCTCAAGATTATGAATGTTAACTCAAGGTTTCTTGGATCGGCACATGATTCTTGTATATGGGCAGGATCTCCTGTAAGCTTGTACGTGAAGCAAATATACAGAAGGATTCCTCAAAACATTTTTTTTTTGCTTGGTGACTCAGGTTAGAGTACTCGTATTTCTTTGATTCATTTCTATTAATTGGTTTCAGCAAGGTAGGAGAGGGAAATAAATTCATTAAAGTATGTCATTTGAGATATCAAATTACAGCTTATTTAATAATAATGTACTTATATGAAAAATGGATGCAAACTAGGTACCAATTTGTCAGGTTTTTTTTGGGGGGGGACATAATACTTTTAAAGCGTTTAATTTTGTAGGTGACCCAACCCGTCCCTGGTTACTTACACCACTACCGAATCCAGGAAACCGTGGGGAGGACCTTTTTAAAGAAAGACTGTCCTCTGTAAGATCCATTATTGAGAGATGTAATGGTGTCTTGAAAAACAGGTTTATATGCCTTTTACGGTACAGGACCCTACACTATAGCCCTACAATATCAGGAAAAAAATTTAATGTATGTGGTGTTTTACACAATATGTGCATTGATAATCGTATACCTGAGACAGATGAGCCTCATGAAGATGAGCCGGACTATGGCATGTACACTGTAGAAAATCTACAGCAAAGATAGGCAGATACAGGAGAACATAATATTAAATCATTTTAATGTATAAAATAAATATCTACACTAATAATTTCCAAAATTTTGTAAAAAAAAACATTTGTTCTTTATTCTAACATTTATTAACTGCAAAACTGTATTTGGTTTGGTTTCAAACTTAATATAAATAACCTTAGGTTACGCACTAACTAAAAGAGACAAACAAAACAAATATCCTTTAACCCTTAACCTACCATGTGAGTCATTTGGACGCAAAGATCCATGTGGTGTCTCACAGACCACTAACTGGGCAGATAGTAAAACAAGTTATTTTTAGGAAATAATTTATTATTGTTATGTATAAAGCAATAGGGATCCTACTACTATGCCTATAAATGGTTCGATACATTAGCCTCCTGATCCCCTGACCTTTCACCCTTTGATTTCTACCTCTGGGGTCACGCAAAGAATGAGGTCTATGAATTTGATCCTCCCGCAACCATAGAAATCCTGAGACAAAGAATTTTGAGCACAGTTAGAAACACTAACAGAAATGCATTAGCGAAGGTTTTACAAAAAATAATTACCAATTGTCAAAAAGTCTGGTTGCAAATGGACGTTAAGCACTTTGCTGTAGGTATGACAGGAGTTGAGATCCCTGTATAGAGAAGCGAATGTCATGTTATTGATAAATAATGCACCCATCTCGGAATGAAAAATACTTACTGGTAAGTTCTGTAGCAGTTTTCTCCAATTTTTATATAATAATGTACCCATCTCAGAATAAAGAAATACTTACTGGTAAGTTCTGCAGCAATTTTCGCAAATGTTTGCCGACAAATATTTCTATTATGGTAAATTTTGTCTCTTATATCCCACAGTGATCTGTTCTCGTACACAAGAGTTGACAATTTTTCGTTGTTAATGGTGACATAACCAATAAGTATTCAAGAAAAGCCCGTACAGAAAAAACAAATCTGCTTGAACGCTCAAATAGTTCTGGGGAAGGCGTGCATGTTTATTCGGACGAATTCGTCAGAACTCGTCAAAATAAAAATTCGTCAGAATTCGCGTCCATAGTATCCGTAGACTTAGATACCTCAGTCTGTTTTTTTCATTTAGACTAAAAACGGTGATGTATGACCAGTCAAAAAACTAAGATGGTCATCCGAATGTTATCCAGATTTCTTTTGCAGGAAAAGAGGTCTGATTTTAAGTGAATTTCGACAATTGGAATTAATTGAATCGCTTATTTCAAACACCACTTAAGTCCATCTTTAATAAGCGATGAAACAATATCAGTATCCCTGTATTATTTTATGTTCTTATTTATGTGCTATGCGCACCAGAATATCAATTTTAAATTCACTTACTATAAAAATAAGATTACAGACTTTATCAGAATTGCTTTTGCCTGGAATCACTTGTTTAAAAGTTTGTTTCCTGTCAAAACTGTTGACTCAATCCTCTCATTTGTATGACTGAGAAAGTTCTTGAAATGTACGCTAAATGTTTGAATATCCATTCATATAGATCGTATGTATAAAGGTGGAATTGTAGGCACAACACTTATCTTGCACTGTCATTCTTTTGTTGAAACAATACAACCGATTGCTGATTATTGAAGAAGGTTCAACGAATCTGTTTTTTCACATTGGATCATTCATGGTTTGAATCCAAAACATGAAATTCGACTTTCCCATATGTTCGGTTTGCTCGGGTTTCCCCTATGTACCATATCGAAATTAAAATATGCAAAACTAAAATTATGTAGCCTGCTAATAAGGCAATAATAGTATCTATATGTAAGTGTAGTTCTGAATAGTAAGCAATGAAATCTATCATTGATATGATTATTTTGCTTAAGTTAAGTCCTGCTAACCCGATTTCCTGCTAAAGTCAGTTCGGAGCTCTAATACTACATTAAGCTACCTCAAAACTTTTTTAACTGTCAGCAAAACAGTTTTTATTGTCTACTGGAAAATGCAAATTATGGGACTGACCGATTCGATTTAGATATCACCTTGTCACCATATGTATAATCCACAATGACAATTTTGACACATGATTCTAGCGATCTTCTATATTTGAGTTACGTTAACAGTGTCAGGATTATGATGGCCTATCAGATATATAACGGCAAGGCGCCACCGAAATAAACTACAATTTTAGTTTGAGTCAAGAAGTACAAGATTATCTTTTGTCAATCATTTTACTAATTCTGATCGCTATTCGAAATATGTCGACTGTGAGCAGTAAAAGGTACAGTTGTAGAAGAAAAAGTTTTATGTAACATGATGAGCTTTTTTCGGAAGGAGGACTATCCTATATTTTAGTCCTGGAGATACTTATTTAGACCAATTGCAAATAAATCATAGTTTCATTTCATCGATATTAATGCCTTGCTCTACACTATACCTGTAGGAATCAAACAAAATCGGTTTTGCTCCTATAGACATGGGACGGCGGCTCATGAGCGAACCAGTTCTGCCGCTACCGCTGCTGACGTACCGTCACGACCTCCGCGGTCGATATCTGGGCAGAAGGTGGTCTGAAAACTGGAGCATTTAGTTCATATCTAATTGTGCATGGTGCGATGTGTTGATGCTGTTCACATATTCCCCCTTGATTGTTCGTCCAAGAACAGAAATCCTGTCGAATTCACTTACACACTATACGACTTATGATTCTTTATCGTCTTTAATCACTCAAGACACGTTTAACAATTGACGATACGACGCCGTATTCTTTTCTATTCGGTAGTGGATGAGCAGGTTATGTATTGTGTTTCTTAGATAGACGTAGTTATATGAACGCGTGATATGTACTGAGCTAATCTGCCTGACAACATTTTTGGTTTAACTAGAAATACATTGGATGAAATCCGCGCAAAATCGCACAGCTAATGTCAGGCATGTCACTGTAAAGGAGGAATGCTAATTATGAAGCCGATATGACACACACAGCAACACTAGCATCGACAATACTCGCATTCCATCGCAGCTGGAGCGCTGCAAGCACCGATTGCTCGCTAAATAACATCCCCTCCCCCTCCCCTCACCTGAAAGTATTGGAGACGAGTTCATATTTGTTGCATTCCTTCCAGTTGCGCCGAATGCAGCTGCACGGGCGACAAATATGCATCGCTGGCATTGTTTCTAATTAAACCGCACCGAAGCTGATATCGAGGCGCAGGTATGCGCACGAGTGACGCGGAACGATGCGAAGAGATATGCAGGACCGATCGCCAGTGTGATCAGGACGGGGATCAGTTGCGGTCTACTTTGGTGCTATGACCGTGCTTATGCATACAGTGGGTTGGGCGATAAACTTCTTACCGATTCTTGCTCATTCTTATAGCTGTAATCAGATGATCTGATTTATTATAGTATAATTAAGAAAAAGGACCAGTGCCGGTATAGCAGAACACCAAAATGTTGCATTAAATCGCTATGTCCTCAATTACACTATTTGGATTGCTTTAAATGTGCCAAATGATATCTTTTAACCTCGCCCAGTCCAGTATGAAAGTTTCATGTTTTTCCTCACATTCATGAGTGTTGGTACTTCTGCCGACACTGGCTAGCTTGCAGATACTTATTTGATGAATATTGTGGATTGCATAACGAGTGATAGTAGAAGGGTATGTCAGCAAAATATTAAGCTTTTATATCGACCTGCGTTGACGTTATGTCGTATCGGCCAGCTCGAAGTTCGTCACGGCTAGGATGGAAGTCAGGCAGATCTGTTTGACAGATAATCGTGCGGCGGCATCATGGCGGAGAAGTTGGAGGGGCAAAGCCAGTTGGTGTAGCATTGGAAGACAGCTAGATCGCCGACGACCTATGGTTGCGAAATGCTTCCGAGGCTGTCCGTTAAAGAAGTTATCGATCAGCCGCACAGTCCTCCTCAGAACAGCATCGAGCATGGATATTGCAGTCAGGGCGGCAGCACCCCAAACATGGGATGCTGCCGCCCCGATAGGCTAGGTCTTATTTGGGCCTTGTTCAAGGTGAGGTCATGTGGAGAAAGGTACTTATTAGCCCTAAACAAATAGTCCAGCTTTTTTTCCAGCAGCACCGTTATTGTCAAGTTGTGCTTCTGCCAGATAAAGTCCTCGGTGATCTGGACTCCTACCGTTCGAAATGAGCCGCTCCTTAGCAGAACTCTACCCTGCTTCAGAAGAGGATGAGCGCTAGGGCGCTTTTTGTTAGTTATCGGCTTACCGGCAGAGATTGACTTTTGACTCTGAATTCATGCATGTAGGGTGCTGTCATCAGTAAAGTTGTGGATTGATCATTCATAGGAAAGGTCATTGTTATGTAAGACTAACAATGTCGAACCCAAGACCGATCCCTGAGGAACACCCGCATTAGCATTGTGGGATGAAGAGGATAACTCGTCAATCACGACGGAAACCTGGCGGCCAGAGAGGAAGTCACCCACCCATCTTCAAAGCTTTTCTAGGACACCATAGATAGGATGGTTTGTATAAGAGCGCAGCATGTTACAGCTGAATGTTTTCGTGAAATCAAAGCAACTATATCAGCCATACCTACCATACGACTGGATAAGCTTCCTCCACAGTTGCGTGGCGTACTTATAACAGAAAGTAGAACGTTAATAGGCCTGTTGTTGTAAGGGTCGCTCTTAGATAAATTTTTTGGGCTCAACGTGAGTGAATCTCCAGTTTTATGTGAAAGTGCCGGATTCGTAAGATATCTACTACTTCAGTACAACGCCAAGAATTAGGTCCGAACCAGAAACATTGTTGATGCCGAGCGGCAAAAGCAGCCAAGTTATAGTCTTATGCCTGAAAGCTACTTCCCGCTGAGTGAGCTTTTGAGTTGGTTACAATTTTTCCATCCTGACACGTGAGCGAAAGAAGGCTACTCTTTCAGAAAGACCAACTGCCATTACCGCTTCGTTATATTTGTTTCAGGACCCAACGTTGTTTTGTCTGTTCTCTACATCGGGGTTTTCTAAGAAAGATGTGTGCTTTGATGTACTGATGACGGGCAGTGTTGCACGACTTGTTGAATCAGCCGCTGGACACTAGTTGAGGCACTTTTACTGTATGAGGGATTTATTCCTCCAACCGAAACATCCGTTTCAGATATCTCTCATCCAAG